CATCTCTGTTAGCTTTATCATTGTGAATATTTAACTTCCTTTATCTGACATTTCCACAAGTTCCCTTGTTTGTGGAGGAAGGGGAGTTATTCTTTTCCCTTAGAGGAGACGTATTTTCTTGGTCTCTCATATGTCTTGTACCTTTGTGGTGGTTTCTGATCATCTGATGGATTGTACATATTTTTCTAGTTTTTGGAATTAAATAGGGACATTCAGAGGCATGCAGGAAAAGGTGACTCGTAATCTCAAAACATACCACTTTTCTCCCTTTGTGCAGCAGATTCAATGGAAATTGAGCATTAATCTGATCCTGAAAGTATTCAGATATTTGACTACTGAGCACCTAGACCTATCTAGAAAATCAGTGTATGGAGGCTGAGCAGAAAAGTAAGAAACATAAAAAGAAAAAAAAAAAGAGAAAAAAACAAGACAAATAATAATAAAAAAGAAAAAGAATAAGCAAAAAATGAAAACTGCATGGTGCACTAGCAAATGGGGTTGCTCAGAACTCAGATATAGATGGCTGCTGATAACTTGGCCTATGGGGGCACGGGGAAAGGTAAGAATTAAAAGGCAAAAGAGTGGCAGAGAACGAAGAAGTTTAAGAATTAAAAAAGAAATAAAAATAGAGATGGAGAGAGACAGAAAGAATACATAGGGTGTTCTAACCTGGCTCTTGGCTAGATCTAGGGCACAGGAGGGTGAAGTCTCGGCAGGCCTTCAGTGGTCCTAATCCCTGAATGGGGCCACTCAGAACTCAGACACAGATGGCTGGTGTTGGCTTGCCCTGGCTCCTGGCTAGATATGGAGTGGCAGGAGGGTGAAGTCTGGGCAGAAGATCTTCAGTAGTCCTAATCCTCTGTCTTCAACTTTTGACAGTTTGACTGTAATGTGCCTTAGAGAAGCTCTTTTTTAGGTTATATTTCATTGGAAACCTTTGAGCTTTCTGAATCTGGATGTCCATATCTCTCTAAAACATTCAGTTTTCTAAGCCCTTTTCTCATCCTTCTAGAGTTTCAATAATGCAAATATATTTGTTTGCTTAACGGTGTCCTGTAAGTCCTATAGACTTTATTCATTAAAAAATACATTTTTCTCGGGACCAGCAGTTAGCATAATGGCTATGTCGCTGGACTCCCATGTAGTCGACCGCGGTTTGAGTCCCGGACCCAGTGGCTTAAACTCACGCCGGGCGCATGTGCATGCGTGCCCAAGATCCCGAGAGGAGAATGGAGGAGAAGGGATTGCGGCGTGGCCATCCCCTCTGGGGGGTGATTTCTCGCTTTCTGTCTCTCTGTCTCTCTCTCTGTCTGGTGAGCACACGCACCCTATAGCAAAAACCTCTCCAAAAAAAAAAGAAAAAAAAAGAAAAGAAAAAATAATACATTTATCTCTTTCTTTTCTTTTTTTTTTCTTTCATTCATTTATTTATTTTCTGACTGGGTTATTTCAAAAAACTTATATTCAAGTTCAGAAATGTTTTCTTCTGCTTGATTTAGTGTGCTATTGAAGGTTTTCATTGAATTTTTCATTTATTGAGTTCTTTAACTTCAGGATTGCTGTTTGGTTCTTTTTTATGATATCTACCTCAGTTGAACTTCTTTCAATTGTTTTTCTTATTTAGTTGGATTGTTTATCTGTATCCTCTTGTATCTCATTGAGGTTCCATAAGGTTACTATTTTGAGTTCCTCTTCAGGTATTTTGTAAATTGTCTTTTCTCGGGGGAGGGGGGGGAGGGCCTGTTTCTGGGAAATTATTGTGTTCCTTCGGAGGAATCATATTTTTTCCCCCATTTTTTTGGTGTCTCTATATAGATATCTGTACATCTGGTGGAACAGTCATCCTTTCAGATTTTATGAAGCAGTTTTGTTAGGAAAGACTTTCTTCTATACGTTTGTTCTATAGCGTTGATTGGGTAGGTTGCTTTGTCTTTGAGTAGGCACAGAAGTGTAGACTTGTATTGTTTCTCTAATTGATGTCAGTAATGTCTGCAAGTGTCTCTGAGATCTAGACTGTGTTGCTTGTAGAGGTACTGGCATGCCTTTGTTGGGGGTGGTGGCCACTAGGAGAGCTGATGACCTCAAGACCTGGATGGGGTTTGTATGGTGGCTGGGGATGTTGTTAGTTAAGGGAGCAGTGTTTCCAGGGTGTCGCAGTAACATAATGCTATGCAATGCTGGGCCCACGTGAGAAGGTTCAGGGTTCACGCCCCAAGGCCTCTCTGTACATGCCTGACATGCATGTCTGTCTCTGTGATCTGGACTGGCTAAGGGTGAAATGCAGCAAGTGGACCCAGGATAGGGGTGCCTCTCTCTCTCTTTCTCATGGAAGAAATCAAATCAAAAGAGGCAAGGATGCCAATGGCAGTGACACGTAAATGGTGGTACACAGCATCCTCAGGCCCTGGGCGAGGCATGTGTCAAGAAAGCAGTGGTGGCAGTATTGGTGACCAGGCCTGTAACTGCAGGCTCCAGGTGGAGCATGTATATTATGCAGGGTCCTCAATGATCAACAAGGTGGGGCTCAATGGCAGTGGCAACTGCAGGCATGGGGGCCCTGGGTGAGACATGTGTGGAGTGCAGAGGCCCCACTAGTCGAGATGAAGTCACAAGATGTGGCAGTGGCAGAGTCCTGGCTGGTGTCCTCAGGCTATCTGTGGGGCACACAGAGGCCCTACCAGTCAGGGACAGGTTGTTGGTGGCAGTGGTAGTATTTGGGCTGGTAACCCAGGTCTGGAGTGAAGCACACACAGCACACACAGGCCTCAGTACACAGAGGCCAGGGGCTGTAATTAGAAGGGTTTGTAATTAGAAGCAGGGTTTTGCAGAGGGGAAGCACAGCTTTGTAAGGAGGAGCGTGCTTTATAGGAGGACCAGGGCTTTGTAGGAGTAGCTAGGTTTGTAAAGAGGAGCAGGGCTCTGTAGTGGCAGCTACAGAGGGTTTTGCAAGTACAGTTAGGGCTTTCGAGGTGCATCAGAGGTATGTTAAGGTGGAACGGCGTTATCTGAAGTGGAGCAGCGATTCTCAGCAAGCTGGGAGGGCAGGGATTTGCTAGGAGAGGGTTTGTAGTAGGGGCAGGGCTTTGTAGAAGGAATAGGGCTTTGCAAAGAGGCAGGGCTTAATGGGAGGAGCAGGGCTTTATAGGAGGGTTTCCCAGGAGGAGCAGAGTTTGTAAGGATAAAGTATCTTAAGGAGTCTTTGTAGGACAAGCAGGGCTTTTTGAAAGTAGATCTCATAGTAGGAGCAGTGTAGGGTTCTCTAAGGACAAGCGGAGTTTTGTATGAGGAATATGGAGCTTTGTGGAATGAACTTGGCTTTGTAGAATGACCAGGGCTCTAGAGGAGGAACTAAGTTTTGTAGGGTGAGGACAAAGCTATGTGAGGAGGGGGAGGGCTCTGTGAGGAGGAGCACGCTTCAGAGGCAGGAGCTGGGGCTGGTGAATACAAAGCAATGTGGGAGAGGCATGGCCACACAGGAGGAGCAGGTCTGTGGCCTCACCAGGACTTCCAGAGAAGAGCTTCCTAGGAAGAGGTGACAGAAGGAGCAGGCCATCCTGCTATTTTAGGAATGGGCTTTGTCGCAGGTAGGCTTTGTAAGGCTGAGGGGGGGATTTGTAAGGTGGTGGTGGGAGCAGCAGGGCTTTGTGAGGTAGAGCTATGCTTTGTAAAGCAGAGCTTGGTGCTGGGTGTGTGTGCATGTGTGCTCAGAATCCCGAGAGGAGTGGAAAAGAGAGGGTAGTGTGGTCATCTCCCCTATGGAGTGATTTCTCTCTCTGTCTCTCCAAGCAAGTACATGCATCCTATAGCAAAAATTATTCTACAAATTAATAAATGGGGGTTTGACTTTGAAAGGAAGAATGAGTCTTTGCAGGAAGGAGTGGGGCTTTAAGAGCCGGGCAAAATAAGGAGTCAGGGTTCTGGAGAGATGTGCTTAAAGAGAAGCAGGGCTTGCCAGAAGGGGATCTGTGATAAGGAGAAGGGGTTTTAAAGAGGACTTTCACAGAAATAGGGATTTGGGACAAAGACAGATTTATGAGGAGAAACAGGGCTTTGGCCTCAACAGGTGTTGACTGCTGATGACGCATCCTGCTGGTCATGCTTTTCCACTTGACTGTGAGGGTGGTATCCTGGTACCCCGAGTTCCGTGGCAGGGTTTTGGGGGCTCAGCAGGGTTCTACATGGCTCCCAGCATAATACTGCCCTGCAAATCCCCTACACACATGGCAAGCAGAGGCTGAGTCCAGGGCTTGTCGGGATACAACCGTGGGTGCAGGACGCCTTATCTTTCTAAACTAGTGAGAAGACGAGAGCTGACCTGTGTGGATGAAACGCTCCTAACCCCTGGGTAAACCGTGGCCTCCCTTCTCAAACGGAGGTGTGGCAGACTGACCAGCAGGTCAGGAAACTGTTTTCTCTTCCCCACGTGCCATGGCTGCACAGCGTCCTCCAGCCTTGCCCGCTGGGCGAGGCTGTGCTGGGGCGAACGGCCTGTGCTGACGTGCACTACGTTTCCGAGCATGTGCCAGGCACGGTCCTCCTCCTTTCCCATTCCCAGCAGCCTTGAAGAATGAGCTGAAAGATTGAAGGAAGCCCAATTGCGCTCCGAGGAAAGCCTCTGCAGCTCACTGAGACCCGAGCTGCTAGTCACGCCCTTGTGCACATGGAAGGCATAAGCAAAATGAAGCCAAGTTATCTAACTGGTTGGAGGGGATGGTTTTCCAACCCACTTGGGCCTTTGATTCCTAATTACCTTTCAAGATTCTTTAGATTTGATGAACCTAACAAAACATTCCCCTTCAGCATGTGTGTATGCCTGTAGTAGTATCTGAGAGGCAAACTGTCACCTTAACAATGAACGGCTGAGGAGTCTGCAGGAAATGCTGATGATTCAAACGCTCAACACATTTCAGGCAGGTCTGGCACAGGGGTAGTTAAAGGAGGTATTTTTAACAGAGGTCGCAATCTGCAGCTACTAATTTTAAAGACGACAAACAGCAAGAAATTATGCAAAGTTTTAATAACAAAGATACTATCTTTAACATGGTCAAATATACTTGGCTAAGTCCAATTAAAAAAAAATTACCTAGCTCAACAATACAATCATACAGCTTTGTACAGAACATTCCATAGATCAACAGAAAATACATTTGAGCACAAAAATAAAAAATATTTAAAGAGAATCTCTAAGCAGCATTTTATTTCTGCAAAACAGACATATATCTTGTACTGATTAAATATCTACAAGTGCTTTTCCTTTACAAAAATACATATGTTCTTAATAGACTAAGTCATTAACAATGAATGACCTGGTAATTCTTTCACTTCAATTTGAATGATTTATAAGCTAAATCTTACAACCACAAAAAGGTTTTTATTTGTATTAAGATGTTACCACTTTTGACAAAAAGCTTAAAATATTTTATATTTCAAAGGAAAATTAGCGACGTAACTTTACAATATATTCTATGATGGTTTTATTTATCGTGAGGGCTACTCTATCAAAAACGGATGACCGCGCCCAATGCGGAAAGCAGCAGAACTCCGGTACTCCCCTCACTAGCTCCTGTGTGGACCACAGCTTCATAAGGACACTTAGGCCCCCACCCCCGTTCTAAAAAATACAGCAAAAGAAAACCGGCCCCCGAGCAACGTCAGGCTGATCCCATTACATGTTTAACGTGTAGAACTCCTGCTCCAGTGGACTGAAGGGAAGTGTGTGGATAAATAAGTTAATCTGGTTACCGTCTCACCTGAAATCTTTAGCCTTGCCCGCTGGGCGAGGCTGTGCTGGGGCGAACGGCCTGTGCTGACGTGCACTACGTTTCCGAGCATGTGCCAGGCACGGTCCTCCTCCTTTCCCATTCCCAGCAGCCTTGAAGAATGAGCTGAAAGATTGAAGGAAGCCCAATTGCGCTCCGAGGAAAGCCTCTGCAGCTCACTGAGACCCGAGCTGCTAGTCACGCCCTTGTGCACATGGAAGGCATAAGCAAAATGAAGCCAAGTTATCTAACTGGTTGGAGGGGATGGTTTTCCAACCCACTTGGACCTTTGATTCCTAATTACAAGATTCTTTAGATTTGATGAACCTAACAAAACATTCCCCTTCAGCATGTGTGTATGCCTGTAGTAGTATCTGAGAGGCAAACTGTCACCTTAACAATGAACGGCTGAGGAGTCTGCAGGAAATGCTGATGATTCAAACGCTCAACACATTTCAGGCAGGTCTGGCACAGGGGTAGTTAAAGGAGGTATTTTTAACAGAGGTCGCAATCTGCAGCTACTAATTTTAAAGACGACAAACAGCAAGAAATTATGCAAAGTTTTAATAACAAAGATACTATCTTTAACATGGTCAAATATACTTGGCTAAGTCCAATTAAAAAAAAATTACCTAGCTCAACAATACAATCATACAGCTTTGTACAGAACATTCCATAGATCAACAGAAAATACATTTGAGCACAAAAATAAAAAATATTTAAAGAGAATCTCTAAGCAGCATTTTATTTCTGCAAAACAGACATATATCTTGTACTGATTAAATATCTACAAGTGCTTTTCCTTTACAAAAATACATATGTTCTTAATAGACTAAGTCATTAACAATGAATGACCTGGTAATTCTTTCACTTCAATTTGAATGATTTATAAGCTAAATCTTACAACCACAAAAAGGTTTTTATTTGTATTAAGATGTTACCACTTTTGACAAAAAGCTTAAAATATTTTATATTTCAAAGGAAAATTAGCGACGTAACTTTACAATATATTCTATGATGGTTTTATTTATCGTGAGGGCTACTCTATCAAAAACGGATGACCGCGCCCAATGCGGAAAGCAGCAGAACTCCGGTACTCCCCTCACTAGCTCCTGTGTGGACCACAGCTTCATAAGGACACTTAGGCCCCCACCCCCGTTCTAAAAAATACAGCAAAAGAAAACCGGCCCCCGAGCAACGTCAGGCTGATCCCATTACATGTTTAACGTGTAGAACTCCTGCTCCAGTGGACTGAAGGGAAGTGTGTGGATAAATAAGTTAATCTGGTTACCGTCTCACCTGAAATCTTTCTTCATTTGTCCCAGATTCATTTATTTCATGACGCTTTACAAGATGGAAGAAAACTAGACCAAGTATTCCACATATATCTATGTCACACGATTCTAGATGTAAAGATAATGAAAAGGCCTTTCTAAAAACTTAGTCTCAGTTTTCAATCCCAGGCAGAGGGGCGTAATGAGTATACAGACACATTGAACGAGCACTGAAAAGAATTCCTTTTAGGTTTAATTTTAGAACTTTCTGAAAGGCAAGTACTCAAGCATTTTAATTCTATTTGAAAAGTTAAGGACAGCAAGTGAACACACTGTTTGTGAAAACTAGATCACACTAGGAAGTGAATCACACAAATGACTGGAGAAACACAACTGCTTCAAGGACAACAAACGGTGAAAACCCTGTACTGGACACTTAAGTACATTTTAATCAACTTTCAACTTGACAGTATTTTCTACCAAAATACTACTGAACTAGAAATATCAAGTAAATGAAAAAGCAATTGGTTATGTTGTGCTTTGAAAGGGCTTTGAGTCCCTACTGTATTTAATACTCTTCAGTTGTTCACAAAACAAGTCTAGCAGACGTGTTCCTATAGGCATACATAGCTGAAAATAATGACGACAGCATTTCAAGTTTAAGTGTTTCTAATCCAGAAAATTAAAGTCATGGAAAACTCATTCATTTCTGTAATTCCTGCAATCTCCCAACATCTTAGTGGTCTACAGCTCTGCTTGCTGTTCCTAAGCCAGAGGATGTACCAGCGTGTGCATCCCTTTGATCCTGTCCATGGTGCTCACCTGAGGACCCAGCAGAAAGACTTCACAGCGTGAGTTTTCCCTGCGGGGAGACTTTCACATGAACCCACTTCCAAGGAGAAAGGGTGTAATGGGACAGCTCTCCCGACGGACATGCTCTTGTTCTGTGACTCATTTTGCCAAATCTGGCTGTGTGTTCAACTCTAACTATGATAAAAGGTAACTGCTGGGAGGCAAGACAGAAAAACAAAACCCAAACCAGGCCTTATGGAAATTTTGCTTTTGAATACAGAAAAAGCACTTACTTAGATGTGCCCAACGGTTGTACTATAGCCCACCTAAGTAAGCATGTCAGCCAGCACTTCCACCAAAACCTGTCTTTTTAATAAAAGTTCTCATATTACTAAGGACCCGGGAACTAAATAAGCATAATTTGAGTTTAGACTGCCTCTTCAGAATGAAAAGCTCATCCAATTAAAATTCAGAATTTCAATTTCGGTTCTTTTCAAAATATATGTTTTTCTCACTTTTCATTCAGAGTGAGGCTATTTGTGGTGTCTCTTCCTCACCTCTAAGATTTCCTAAGAGCTGCTGGATGATGCTAAAAACCAGTGAACCTATTTGAAAGGAAGTATGCTCTGATTATTGCAAGAAAAACCTGCATTTGACTGATTTCACCAAGAAAATTCAGTTTAAAGCCTTTCTTTGGTGACACTTCAACAGTTAATCAAGATTATTGCCTAACTATACAAAATTAAATTGCAATCTAAAAATTACCAACCTCCAAACTGTTACAACTCTCTTTTCAACATGGTTATTAACTAACAGCAAAATGTCTTTGGTGATATCTATATTCTTATGAAAATCTTTCAAAAAGAGATGATCCTAACTGACAAGTGCCTATTTAGCTACAAAACCATTCAAAAGAGACAGGTACAGAGAATGCAAAATCTATGCAGTGACTCTAAAACAGAAACGCACTTCAGCAATGAGGCACTTTCTCTTAAATAGTTCAATAAAGCTAAATAGTTCACAATGTTACATAACACATTTATCT